AAGGGAAGGGAAGGAAAGGAAAGGAAAGGAAAGGAAAGGAAAGGAAAGGAAAGGGAAGGGAAGGGAAGGAAAGGAAAGGAAAGGAAGGGAAGGGAAGGGAAGGAAAGGGAAGGGAAGGAAAGGAAAGGAAAGGAAAGGAAAGGAAAGGAAAGGAAAGGAAAGGAAAGGAAAGGAAAGGAAAGGAGGAGTGGGAAGGGGAAAAGGAAAAGGAAAGGGAAAAGAAAGGTGGGCAGTGAGGCAGGACTGATCAAGAGATAGCAAAGAGTTTGTACCAAACTACATGTTATACAGAACAGATTTTCACCTGACTTTTTCCATTGGTTGCTTTCACACTCTCAATCTGATTATAGGATTAACCCATTCTCTGGCTTTGCACATACTATATTGAGAGGGAAGATGATTGGGGTAAAAACATCTTTATCGTAATTAGACTGAACTGTTCAAGATTAAAACCAAACAAACAAATCTAGCATATTGTGCCAAGCAGCTGCATGGGTTAGCACCAACCTTCTTAAGGGGGTTGAGTGAAACATCATACCACAAAAAAAGGTAGAAAAGAAGCAGCTTTTGGACTACTTAAGCAAGTGTTCCTCAAACACAGCAACCTTAAGACAAGTGGACCTCAATTCCCAGAATTCCCCAGCCAGCATGCTGAGAAACATTGATTTAAACCTAAAATACAAAAGTAACAGCTCAGGGACCAAGTGTGATCTGGCACGGATCCAGAATGCCTCAACATTCCTAGACTTCGGAGATTCCTGCACTGTTTAGTGAGGTTATATTATTTAGAGATCAAATAATCTCCTGCTATTTGTTTCCAGGAAACGGAACCCAGAAGCATGAAGGAAGTGTGGGAAGTGTGAGGAGGGCTCAGCAAGAATGAGTTATTTGTGACTTTTGGTAGAAGACATAAACTTTTAAAAATAAATGGATATTTTTTAAATAGCCCTTTCCACTTGGATCTCAGCTCCACCACCTTTTCAAGGGCAGACCTTGACTTGCTGCACAAGAGATAAAGTCCTAATTATGGAATTGCCCTAAAAAACTCATGTGCGTGTTTGTTTCTTGAGTGATTCTTTCCGAGTGCTCAGTTGGCAAGCATACTGCAGAAAAGCTACTGGGTCTAGAATGGGAGTGCAAAGGTTTGACAGCAGGAGAAGTAAACGGTGTTAAACAGGAAGACTGCATTCTGCTTGCAGCGGCTGCTGTTGCTTTTCAGGCCAATGTTCTGGGTCAGACATGTACAAGGACACACACACAAGCTGCAACATTCCTCTTTACTCCTGTGCATTTGATGTAAGTTACTAAAAAAAGGGGAAAAATGACATCAGTCCTTTCCTGCCCATCAATAATCTCTTGATAGAAAGTGGAGATGGGGCACCCCTCCTTCCCACTCCTCCTTTATGTGTTGCCCATTCAAAGTCTCCTTCAAGTCAAGTACAATTCCTGGTGACATCATGAATGGAGTGAGGTGGTTTTCTTGGCAACCACCCAGAATAGGTTGGCCATGGCTTTCTCTCAAGAAGAGTTTTGACTCCCAACTTGCAGCCTTAACAATCCTTGAAAAGCTTCCATTCACCTTCTTCCTGGGTCTTTCAACCCTCTTGATTTTTAGAGATCCACCAAGCTCAACTAATTGGGCATGCATTAGACCTTAGATAGCACAATGGGATCTAGTCAATTTCACAATTCTTTCATCATAGCCAAGTTAAAATCACCATGCTCGGTGTTCCCATGTGATGCTTTGGTGTACTTTCTCCTAGTAGCAGGAGTAAACTCAATAGTTACATTCTCTATTTATTTGTATCCCGCCTTTATTATTTTGATAAATAACTCAAGGTGGTTCACATACCTAACAGTCTTTCCTCCTCCTATCTTGCTCACAACAACCCTGTGACACGAGTTGTGCTGAGAAAGAGTGACTGACTCAACTGGCATTCATGCCTAAGGCAGGACTAGAATTCACAACTTCCTGGTGATTGGCCCAAAGTTATCCTACCAGCTTTCATGCCTAAGGCAGGACTAGAACTCATGGTCTCCTGGTTTCCAGCTTGCCGCCTTCACGCTAGACCAAATTAGCTCTCTTAGTAAAAGTACTGAGTGAACATGGACTAGAAGCTTCAAAAGTCTGAATGAATATTAGCAGCCAGGGAGCTAAGTGGATTTTTTTGGGGGGAAATAACTTCATTAAATCTAGTTCTACTTACTACTTTATTATGGGTCACAGACAAGGAGTACATAAAAATGCAATATATAATAAACAATATGGCATGCACAACAGAAGGCTGGTAGTTATGTTTAGTCTGCTGTCAATAACATTCTACAGGCTGCAAATATAAACTGTGCAAATGAAGAGAGAACTTTGGATTTTTTTTTTCACTCCCAAAGAAGCTGCATTTTCTGTCCAGCCTGGAAATTGGCTAGTTCTTCTGCATGAGAAGCAAAGAAGAAATCCTTGCTAACTCCTGTAATTGAATGAGGCAGGATATCTCCTCTCTCCCCAAACTTTCCATTTTTAGCCCTAACCCCAACCTTTGTAGATTGCTAGAAATCTCTTTCAATTTGTTTAAAGTCTTAGTAGTTCATTCAGAACTAGGCACTTGAGTGCCTAATTAGGAACCTGAGGGTCAGTTTGCTATAGTGGTTAAGGCATCAGGCTAAAAACTGGGATAATAGGAATTCTCATCTTGTCTTGGGCATAAAGCCAGCTGGGTGACCCTGGGCCAGTCCCTCCCTCTTGGCCCTAGGAAGAAGGCAATGGCAAGCCACTTCCAAAACCTTGCCAAGAAAACTGCAGGGATTTGTCCAGGTAGTTGTCAGGACTCAACATGGACTCAAAGACACAAAAAAAACATCCCACAACAAAGTGGGTTTAGCAGCTGTGTGAACCCAACTAGAGACAACAGTAGCTTCGCTCCCCAAGAAATCCATATTATGTTTATGGATGAACTAATTTTGAAGGCTCATTAAGCTTAGTTTGGACGTACACATTTAAACCTAGTAGAGAAAGATATTAGCTGGGGAGTAGAACTGGAAAAGAGAGCCAGTTTAGTCTAGTGGTTAAGGCACCAGAATAGAAACCAGGAGACTGTGAGTTGTAGTTCTGCCTTAGCCATGAAAGCCAGCTGGGTGACCTCTGTCCCACTCTCTCACCCTAGGAAGAAGGGAATGGCAAACTACTTCCAAAATCTTGCCAAGAAAACTGCAGGGATCTGTACACGCGCACACACACACATGCACACACATGTGCACTTTAGTTTTCAAAAGCTGAAGTTATCAAGAAAATAAGAAAAGTCTTGCTGAAGGAAACTAAGGTATCTACTTAGAAGTTTTGCTCCTGTGGCAACCAGATGCTGTTGAGGATAGTAATATTGAGGAAAGGTGCCCCCAACCCAGAAATATCACTGAAACTTTAAAGTTTGTAATGGGCCTTTGCCTGCATGAATTTAGCCCTGCCCTTCTTAAAGCCATCCAGGTTAATATGCCATCCAGGATGTGCAGTAATGAGAGGTCCTTGATGCCTCTGTGGTTGGTTGTTTTCTTACTGACATTTCATTACCCAGCATCAGTGCTACCGGTGCTACCGGTAGCAGTGTTAGTTTTGGGTAATGAAATGTCTGCAACGAAACATACAAGGCTCAGAAAGCATCAAGGACCTCTCATTTCAAGCTACACATATGCTCCTTTATTGGTGCAGAAATGGATTTTACACAATAATGGCATGGAAATTCTAACATGATATAAATATCATCCCCTACATCTGCCTTCCTTTGAATGACGCTGTCCAAATTTGGCTCCGCTGGCTGGCTGGGAAAGGGAGTCATGGTCCAACACATCTGGCAGGGCCCAGGTTGGGGATGACAGCTGTGCAGGCTGCATCTGGGGGTTGGAGCTGCATTTAAGCAGCCACCTTGGCTGTGTGCAATACAACCCTCCCTTTCATAGAAGATTAAGAAACACTGATTAAGAACCTTTTGCCTCTTTGACTGAGAGCTACAAGCAGTATTAGTTACCCTTCATGCAATGCTTGGCATTTTTATTTGGTCCAAAAATCCAACCCACCCACACACACCCCTTCTTCCCTCCCCGCAACCCTCCCGGGACAGCAAACATTTCTCCTTTTATGGACTGGGTTAGCAAAAGCAGCTCATAGGTTTCTGAGTGATGGTGCTGAGAGAGGCCGGTTTCTGGAAGCCTCCCAAGGTGGGAAGTCCTTCAAGAAAATGCCAGCTGGAAATCAGACTTTCTGAAGGTGCTTCTGAAGTCAAGAGAGGCCCAGCTTGGCCAGTTGGTGGCTACACTTCTGGTTTTCAGATTAGAACTCTCCTGATTCGATACCTGCTTCTAAGAATAGGCTCAGATTCATTAGACAGGAAATTCTCTCCCATCATTTTGGGAGAATAATCCCACCTTTTCTGAAGTGATTGTTCAGAAAATATGATTGTTGTTTCCATTTCATCCATTTAGCCTGTGGCTGTATTCATACACCCCTCTGAACTGGGGCAGTGAACAATCTAGCTGTGATTCAATTTCTGAAACCTAGTTAGTTTTCACTTGGATTTTTTTTTTAATACAGCTGAGTGGTGGTGTGAACCCAGGCTGTTCCTTAGCTTAGGGTTGACTTCAGCATCTTGGCTAAACCCAGAAATAGTATATAAAATCATTCATACATTGCAATGTCCTACCTGTCAATGAATACTTCAGCTTCAACCATAACAATACAAGAGCACACAGTAGATACAAACTCAAGGTAAACCGCACCAAACTTGATTGCAGGAAATACGACTTCAGCAACAGAGTGGTCAATGTTTGGAATACTCTACCTGACTCTGTGGTTTCTTCCCCAAACCCCAAAAACTTTAACGTTAGACTGTCTACTATTGACCTCACCCCTTTCCTAAGAGGTCTGTAGGGGGCGTGCATAAACGCACCAACGTGCCTACCGTCCCTGTCCTATTGTTTCCTTTTATTTTCTTATATGTATCCATTTCATGTATTCATAACTATGTTTATACTTATACCTATTATCTTGTAAGCGATTGACAAATCAAATCAAATCAATCAATCAATCAATAAAATAAACTGTATTGAGCAAGTTGTATGAAGGCAGTGGGTGGGAATAAGAAGGATGGCAACTGAAACTCCAGTTTCAAGGCTGACATGCCCAGTTCTGTTCAGTGTATCTGTATAGCTCAGAGTAGTCAGGAGCCCCAGGCACTTGCAAACGCACATAATTCAAATTCCTCTCCGTTCCAAAGTTTCTCCCCTTTGCCCCCAATCATAAACAGGCCCACAAGCCCTAGCTGGAAGAGTGCCCCACCCTACCCCTTTAAGGCAGCCATTGGCCTCTTGGCCTTCATTCCTTTTATAGCTCGTTTTGGAGGGAGAAGGCAGTGGAAACAAGGGTGGGGTGAGAGATGGAGAACCAGGAGAATGGAAAGAATGGAAAAGAAGATGAGGAGATGTGCCTTGCTTTCGTTTTGTCTTTTTTTTTAATACTGTGGAACTACAATACCTAGAATCCCAACTCTTAAGCATTGGCAGGGAATTCTCAGAGGACAACTTCCAGATCTATTCTGTAGATATTGGCAATTTTGCAGCTCTTCAAACTTATGGGCATCACATTGATTTAGGGGGGACTGGCCCTTCTACACACAGTACTGTCCAAGTGCACTGAGTTACAGCTCCCATTATTCTTCAGCCAGCAGAGTCACTGAGTGGGCGTTGTAGTCCAATACCTCTGGAAGGGATTCAGATTAGAAATGGCTGCTTTGGACTGCACATTGACTCATTAACCCACAACAAGCCCAAGGTTAGAATGTGGTTTCCCTGAACAGATGTGTTGAGAAAAGTCCTTGTAGGACAAACGGGGTTTGTTGCAACTCCTCAACCTCCTATTTCACTGGCAGGTGGGAAGCTACCATGTTAAATTTCCCAGAGCATTCAGTATCGCATAACCCTGAGGCATGATAGGAACATTTAAATCATTTAAACATTTAATTTAAACAATTAAAATGGGAATATTTAAATCAGAGGTGTCCAACCTTGGCGACTTTAAGACGTGTGGACTTCAGCTCCCAGAATTCTATACTGGCTGCGGAATTCTGGGCGTAGAAGTCCACAAGTTTTAAAGTTGCCAAGTTTGGGCACCCCTGATTTAAATGCTGACTTTCTAACCATTTTGGCACTTTCTCTGACCAGCCAGCAACCTGGGGAACCTCAATCACCCCCATAGCTTGTCCTGATCCAGAGTGTTAGAACTTTTAACAATAAGGAGTCTCTTTCTATTTTTCCAAGGAACTGCTGAAGAATTTCTCCTAGTGTATTGTGGGATTCTTTTTCTGGCTCTTGTGGGAATACAGATAGTCCTTGACTTAGTAACATTAGTTTAACAACCATCCAAAATTACAATAGCATTGGAAAAACTGACTTACAACCAGTCCTCATGCTTACAATCATCATCGTGTCCCTGCAATTATTGATCAAAATTCAGCACTTGGCAACCAGTTTGTATTCACAACAGAGGCAGCATCCTGTCTGACAGAGCAAAACCGAGAGAAGAAACAGACTGAGATCCCAAAACCCAAGACTTACCAGAGGTTGCAGTTATCATGGTAAGTTGCTCCAGCATGGAACTTGACACCATTGCGAATGCAGCCTGGGGTGGGAAAAGATGCCAGAACAAAGAGGGTTATTCTACAGAGCTCTATATATTTTAAGATGGCTCAGCATTTAGACCAGGACTGTCCAACCTTGGCAACTTTAAGACTTGTGGACTTCAAGTCCCAGAATCCCCCAGCCAGCCATGCTGGCTAGGGTATTCTGGGAGTTGAAGTCCACAAGTCTTAAAGTTGTCACAGCTGGACGCTCTGATTTAGATTAAATTTTTGAAGTAGCAGCAAAGACCTTGTTCTGTTCTTAGCCAAAATCATGGGTATGTCCAAAGAGGGAAAGTCCATGGCATCACATGGAACATGTAATGGCACAAATGGCATGAATTATGTTGTTGACATCAGCTGCAAGGCCAGTTACATCATCCAGATGACTTTTGCAACGGCATCACAATGCAAATGAGGCCGCCACAGTTTGTTCTGAATGCCTATGATACAATGGCTTGCAAAAAATTTGGCTTATGACATGGTCTTTCACTCAGGGGAACTTGAAGTTGGAGGCTTTCCCCTTTGGCAGCCAATCTCTCCCCTCCTGCATCTGGAATGCTCTATTCCTTAGAACAGTATTTGCACAGGTGGTAGCCTCCAGACCCTCTTTGGGCTATCACTTCCAGGATTCCCAGCAACAGGCCCTGGACATTCCAGAGGTTGCAATCCCCCACATCTGGATTGGAAAATTCAGGTTGGGAAAGCTTGTGAAAGAGGTGAAAGGTGAGATAAAGCAGCACCGAAACCTTTAGAATTACAACCATGCAGTTTGAATTTTTAAGAATATGGTACAGGAGAGAGAGAAGAGAGAAGAAGGAAGAGAGAACTGAGGTTGACAAGACTGCACTCCACTTGCTGTTTTGAGGAGTGCAAAAAGAAAGGTGCAATTACTTTTACTGCACTATTTAGTTGATTAATCAAATTTATATGGCCACCCTCTCATGGAAAGTGATTCTGGGCAGTGAATAACATTATTACACTGTACTTTGCTTGTATATTTTTTCAATAAATCAGATGCTACAAACACAGTAACACCATCCATGGCAATGTTTTGTTGTTCTATTTGCAGGCAGTTAAAGGATTGTTGTGTTTTTACACGTGCAAGAGAACACAATGCATTCACAAATATGCACCCTGGAGTGGTTCTCTCCCACTCCCTTTTCCATCTGAACAATTACTTATAGTTTCAGGACCCCACTTCCTTATAAATATACATGGATTAGACAAATGCCTGGCTTTTAACCTCTCCAAAGCACAGTGGAAGCTTGTAAAAGTAAAACTGTATTTAAACCCCCACCATTATTCAACAAGGTTAGGTGGAAATGGATCCAAGGAGGCCAAAGTTTGATTTTAATCCAAGACTTCTGCCCAGAAAAGATTTTGAAGGTTAAACTTTAGGTCTTGAAAAGGTAAAGGGTTGTGTTGAGCCTTCGGCTCATGGAACAGGACATCTTTCAATCAGAGAATGTTTAAATCCAATTTAATTTTAAAATTCCTAACTTTTGGGAAATATTTTTCTACAGATCTTAGAAGAGGCAGTGCAGACTAGACAGGCATTTCCTTACCTGCAGGATTTCCTTGCCTAATAACTTATTATGGTTTGCCACATAGTCAGTCAGATGTTTAGATTGGGTTACACTTTTTTATCCACCTATTGAGTGCTTCCCAAAGACCTGGGTTAGACAGATTTTATCGTTTGATGGTGTTAAAGGGAACAGTGATAGGCTGTTCTAAGTAATATTGCCTTTTGCAATTGACCAATGGTGATTTTTCTCAGTGTTGATGGATTTCTACAGATTCTCTATGGAGATTCTCAGTCATCCAGATCATGGTTGTCTCAAGGGTGCTTTTTCAAGAGACTCCTGAACTTTGTTTTTCTTTGAAGACATTTCGCTTCTCATCCAAGAAGCTTCATCAGTTTTAGATGAGAAGCAAAACATCTTCAAGGAAAAAGTCCAGTTGCCTCTTGAAAAATGACCTTTTAGAACAACTTCTAGTGATATTCCAGTTGTTTTGGAAGTTCACCCAAGACACCTGTTGCTATTGGTATTACCTTTGGTTTTTTTTGCCATGATCATTCTACTATTGGCAGATTTTTATATTTTTTTATTTTCTCTATTCTTTCTCTTCTATTCTGCTGTCTCCAGCTTCTGCAAAGTCCATTATCCAGACTTCTTGTCTTATCAATAATTGCTAAGTCTGGAGTGTTATGTGGCAGGTGCTTGTCTGTTTGAATTCTAAAGGAGCCATGGTGGTGCAGTGGTTAGAATGCAGTACTACAGGCTAATTCTGCCAACTTCCAGAAGTTTGATTCTTACTGGCTCATAGTTGACTCAGCCTTCCATCTTCCCAGGTTGGTAAAATGAGGACCCAGATTGTTGGGGGCAACATGCTGACTCTGTAAACTACTTAGAGAGGGCTGTAAAGCACTATGAAGCAGTATATAAGTGCTATTGCTAAAGCCCTACAGCAGTTTAAATTCTTTATTTTCTATTATTTTATGTACAGTATCTTGTGGTCCCACCAGTTCTTGCTTGCAGGCAAGTATTTCTTGCAGATCTTCCAATACACCATTGTTGCTACTTTGTCATGCAGTTGTTTGTAGTCAATCTATGCTATTTTTCTGCAGCAGCTAATTAGGTTGTCCACTGTTTCTTCAGCTTCCTTGCAAAGGCAGCATTTGCTTCTTTCTTATAGGCAGAATTTTCCATTTCAGTTGAAGCAGAAAACTTTGCAGCAATGCATCAGTAGAGAATGCAATGAATGAGTCAACACCTAACAAAGTAGAAACCATGCCGTTCTGGGCAGATCTACAGGACAACCCAAAGAAATACAACAAGGATGCAGCTTGGATAAAAAGAGATGGATAAAACAGAAAAGAAGCTGAAATGAAAGAATTTGCAATAACAGCAGAAGCGGTGGAGAAAAGAGCAAGGAAGAACAAGAATTGGTCAGCACCAGGTAAAGATGAACTGCATGGCTTTTGATTGAAATGCCTGATTGTACACCACACACTCATTGCCAAACAGTTTGACAAGATACTGCAAAGCAGTGAAATTGAAGATTGGTTAACATCTGGCAAAACCTACCTGATAATGAAAGATCCAACCAAAAGGGCAGCACCCGCCAACTACAGTCCAATTATTGCTTATCACATTAAGATATGGGAGATTACAGAATATAGACTACAGTTAGTCTTCAACTTACAACCACAATTGAGCCTAAAACTTCCATTCTTAAGAAAGACAGTTGCTAAGCAAGTCTTGCCCCATTTTACAGCATGTTTTGCCACAGTTGTTAAGTGAATCACTGCAGCTCTTAAGCTAGTAACACGACTGTTAAATGAATCTGGCTTGTCCATTGACTTTGCTTATCGGAAGGTCACAAAAGGTGATCACGGGATCCCAGGACACAGCAACCATCATTAATACATGCCAGTTGCCAAGTGTCCAAATTTTTAACATGTGACTAGGGGGATACTGCAAAAGTGTAAAAATGCTCATTTTTTTTTAGTGACATTGTAGCTTTTGAATGGTCACTTAATGAATGATTGCAAGTTGAGGGCGAGCTGTATATAATTCTGTTTTTTTTTCCCTACCTCTTCCTCCTTTTCTAAATCCCAACACCATAAAAGCAATCCAGAAGGAGGCTTAAAGCAGTACTTGGGTTAATATTCTGGGTTTGGCCAAAGGCAGATGGCTGGGAGCATCTTTTCCAGCCTCTCAGTCAGGAGTCCAGCAGAAAGAAAACCATTGTACCAAAGCAAGAAAATCAGATTTTCCTTATTGGGGGGCCAAGGAAGCAGATGAGGTTGCTACAGAAGTGACTTGTATACACGATGGGACAGATTGTGGTTGTTTGAAAGGCTGCCTCATAAACCCAGGGATGACCTCTGAAATGTGGGTGGGTGGAAACCCATATGGGTTTAGCAAACAACAATGCAACTACACATTCTCACTGCTCAATTTTTGAACTAATTTATGAAGGTTTAAATTCCTAATGCTTAACACTTCTTAAATGAAAATGAGTCACTAGTTTGTAATATTATATATCAATTAAATAATAGCTGTGATGCCCCTCCCGTCCACAACATGTCAGTTTCTCTCATTGTCTTTTAACGGATGTATTATTTATTTTTAATCCTTAGTGAGCCACCAGAGTTGTTCACAAGTCTACAGCCTTAAAAATTGAAATAATAAATAAATACAAAGCTGTATTACTGTACTACTGTTGCAGAAAAGAGCACCACGAATCCTTTAAAAAAAGAAAAAGGAAAGAAAGCAAAAAGGCAAAAAGAAAAAAAAATCTAAAATAAAACTTCTTTTAAAAAAGCACGCACACACATAAGGCAAAAAGTATACTGAATTGCAAAGGTGGAATTCTTGGTGCTTTCCTAGTTTCTTCTTGATAGACACTACCAAGAAGAAAACCACATTCCCACCAATGCTGAGAGAGCAACTCTGTTATATGTAAACACTCCCTTCCAGCACTGATTATATTACCTAGTTGGGTCATGAAACATCTGCAAGAAAACAACCAAGCTCTCAGAACACCATTGGCCCCACAGTTCAACCCAGAGCTACAAATATTCTCCTTTATTGAATTGCAAGTATAAACAAACAAAAAATAATAATGGCAAGTTGTCAGCCCAGTGTAAGACTGGTGGTAAGAGAAGGTGTAAGACTGTAAGATTCACAGGCCTTCTTCCCATTCTGATCAGCCCTGCATCCACCACTAGATTAAGGGTGTGCTTAGGATATCAAGGGAAAGGGACCCCCACTTTTCCCCCCCAGTCCTGTTTCAAACAGTTTCACTGTTTTCAGCCCTGAATGAATCTTAGCATCTTGTCAGTTAACCCATGGAAGGACCAAGGGCTGGGCTTAGGGTATCCATCCATCAGTTGGACTTGATTCAGCCCTTATTCTGGTTCAGCAGGAAATTCCCGCAGTACCTTCAAATCAGGTGTAACTTCAAATCCACAACTTACCTTTCTGCACTGGATATGGTGGGTCAATGCCCAAACAGTATTCCCAAAAATCAGGGCAACAGTCAGAGATGGTTCGGTTGCAGAAGAGGTCACAGTAGCAAAGGGTATCGAAGTAGAGGACGGTGCAGGCGTCATCCCTCCCATGACAACAAGCATCCTGCCGACCACAGTATGAGCCTTCTGCATCGCGTATCCCCTGTTCATGCAATCCAGGTGCTAGTTCCCTCCGTGTACGATGTACCCGAGCAGGAAGAGTCTCACCCATCAACAGCAAGGTGCACAGAAGAATCCAGTTTTTCATGGTGTTTTCTGAGTTACTGAATCACAGATGTTCTGGATAGAGGAGACAAATAAATCTGGAATCACATAGCATGACTTCTACTTAGCCCAGTCTGCTAGGAACGGACCCCTTGGAAAGATATGAATTGGAAAGCACTGGGAGAAACATTGATTCTTTTGCAAGTATATTTCCTAAACTGGATCATCAGGAAGTGGAGGGTGAACATTCTCCTAAGAAATTTTACTAACTATAATCACATGCAACCTGAGGTAAATCCTTCAAGACAGATTAGACCAGGAATTCAGTATCATGCAGGTAAAATATTTTTTTGTTGTAAAACTATAGGAACAGAACCTTTCTGTCTGAATATGTTTTCCCTTCCCTCCCTTTATCTTCGTGAGAACTAGGAAGGGTCTTGTGTGAGATGCTTCCTCAAGTTACATTCCTGTTCCAACTCAAGTTCCTTTTATCTGGACAATGTCTTGGTAGCCATTTTTCCTCCTGTCCCACAAGGCCATTTCCTCTTTCCTCTACCCATGGTTTTCACCTGGATTAGAAATTCCAGGACAATAGGGGAACCAACTACCTGGAAGGTAGGACTAGCCCCATCCCTTGTGTGTTACAGCCATCAAAACTACATGAAGGTATCCCTATCAGGTGCAGGCAATCAGATCCATATACGAAGGGTTCAAGTTTATTATATCTACCTATAATACAAGAATCTCCCCAGGCTACTTGCCCTCTCTTGGGAATAAAAAAATAAGGACCCATGAAACTTAAGTGTGTCAATCCTTGGTCTCTTGCTGCTGTGCCACAACTGAAGACTAACTCCCCACTTGATCCATCCTCTTTGTCTGGCTGGGAGTTTTCCAACAGTTCAGGGAGTCACCAGGATTTTGAGGTCAAGAATACCTTTGCTTCGAATCATATACTCTACAAGTCCCTCTTGGAGTCTCTTGTCCTGCCTTTCCAGCATCTTGACATGGGTAAGTTTTTGGCAAGTGTTTTACCTATAAAATTCCAAATCTGGCCTAAATCATTTCTATTATATTGTCATGTCCATTGCTAGCCCCATCATGTCTCTTGAGCACAGGCTTCCTAACCAGCTCTCAGAAGGGAAGATTACACTCAGGACATTGTCCTGTTTATACAGCCATCCAGAATGGAGAAAAGCAAACAAAAAGTTTGAACTCTCGATCGGAAAGAGCTCACTTGAACTGCGAGAGGAGAGGATAACCATCCCACATCAGAATGTTTTGGTGGAGACTCAGAAGCAGCTACGTCACAGCAAATTAATTCCATGACTCTTGGGCTCCTTCGGCTTCTCACTTTACCCTCACCCACAAAGTTGCAAAATAGATTTGATTAAGGGTCACCATATGTCTTACAAGTAGCCCACTGACTTTTCTGAAGAAAATGGCTGCTCAGCCTTGTCTTCAACACACCTACTGTCTATAGCAAAAGAGCACATAGCCAATAGCCACAGCCACGTCTTTCCTTGCTGCACTTGACAAGTGTCATTTTTCCACTTTGGCTGGTTCAAAGCTTAGCCGAGCAGTCATTCTGCAGTGGATTATTTCAGGGTAAGCTTAAAGACAGAGATGGGATGAGGTTCAGGTGCTGGATCCTCTGTTTCTATTGCTCCACAAGTGCTGAGTAGACAGGCCCCAACTCTGATCCTGTGCTAAGTGGGGATGAGGAGAATCCTAGGATACCATGAGGATTCCTTCAAGTATGCCAGGACTGTGATTGAGGGGTGCCTTGAAGTTGTCCAGCTCATTTATCTGCTCTATGTACAAAGATAGTCTGGCTCACACAACATGCTAAGATAAGGCCAGAGGGTCTCACAATACACTGACCCCCAGATTACCCAATCCTATTTTCGCTTGGTCTTACGAATTGTGGGAACCCAGCCAATCTGAATGGCTTTCACTTTCTCTTCCCAGAGAACTGGACACTAACACTACACCTACTTGGCTTCTTCCCCGGATGTTTTTCTCTTGTGCAAGTGAACTAATCAAAAAGCAGAAAACTACAAACCTAGAATGCCCAAATAAACCCACTTGGGGGAAAAGGTGTTCCTACAGAAGGAAATCTGGTCTTGAAGTCCTATATCCCCCGTTTCAGAAGCCGTGCGCCGGATAGGCACCATCTCCACCCCTTTGCACTTCTCCTGCCCTTCCAACTTCCCCAAACCTTCCCCTCATAAGGAATGAAGACCACTTGGATGATCTCAGCCTGCAGCAATGCAGTAGGGTCACCATTTCCAAAACCAGAGGCAGCAGTGGTGGCCACCAACTCCGGAGGAAGGAGCCAAAGGTCAAAAGCCAAGGAAGGAATTTCCTCTGCCTTTCCCGTGCACCTTTCACTTGGTTTTCCAGGATGCAGGGGCCGTCCCACCGAGCTTCAAGTTTCATTTTGATTAACTTTGCTCCCTGAGCTGTTTTAGCAAAGTCCAAGGCAACCAAAGGTTTGCTTTTATACACATCTGCCTTATCTGCCCCGCCCAGCAGTGTGAACTGTAAGATCTCTAGCTTCAGAGGTATGTCCAAGTTCAGAAGTTTCTTTCTTTTGTTTCATTTCGGAAGCATTTTGACAGGGGCAGCAGGAGTATGCAAGGATCCCAGAAGACATTCCTGATCTACTAGAGACCTCCCAGGTCCCTCTGGAAGGCTTATAGAGTTGTTAAAAGCTGCATTGGTGGCTTTCTAGTCAAAAGGTCTGTTGCTGCCCCACCCAGCTACACCGGATAAAGGAAATCTATGCCTGACCAGCCACTCAAACGCAAACATCAGCTGCACATTTTAAACTGAATACATGTCACTCTGTCTAAGTACTCAGAGTCCACCTCTGCTTGAATACTTACCTAATATGGATTTAAAAAACAATTCTGAAGTTTTAGAATAGCATTGGAAAAATTGTTTATAAAATGGGGAAATGCCCTTCTAAATTACTTTGCATGCCACTTCTGTCACCTTGGGAGAAAGGTAAGCATATTCTTTCCAAAATGATTTTCCCAACCTTCTTTTAGGTCTTGATGAGCTTCCTCTGGCAGAAAGAGGATAAAAATCAAGGACATCATCATTTAGGGCTGATGGGTGGAATGATCGATCAATCCATTCTTTTATTTCAGTACTCCTGAGTCTTAAAGAAATGCACGGGGCATTTTTATTCAATAAAGGAGAATATTTGTAGCTCAAGGTTGAAATGAGGGGTCCTTGGTGCTCTCTGAGCTTGGCTGTTTTCTTGCAGATGTTTCATTACCCCAACTAGGTAACAACACCCACTGACTACCAAGTTGGGGTAATGAAACATCTGCAAAAAAAAACCAGCCAAGCTCAGAGAGCACCAAGGACCCCTCATTTTAGAAATGCTTTTTTCCAATATTGTACTAGCAAGTAGCATTGCATTCTTTCTTGCCTATTCTGCATTTTAATCACCTGCTGTGCCCACTTAAGCCAGTTCCGCTTCATCAAACCCCAGGGCTGTGTTCACACACTGCCCTTCACCTGCTTTCAGAATTAACCCATTTTCTGGAAGGAGGATCACCCAATGCACTATCCCTGAAATGATCCAAATTACTTGAGTTCACACAAGGTTATCTCAAAAGTCTCAGTAACCAAGCTTGGCATATAGCAGAAAAAGCAAAGGTCATTTTTTTGAAGGCACGCTTGACTCCAGCCAAGAGACGACACACTTTCAAAGCTTCAGAAGGAACAGAGATTTCGACTTTGGGGGTCCAAATCGGAAAATTGCAATGGAAAGTCAGGAGTTTATTTTATTAAAAGGCATCAGCTCCTTGCTCACTTCATCAGGTGCCTCTGTGAGGGGCAGCTCCTAAAAGTTTGTTGCCATTTAATAAAATGTGTCTGAGGAAAACGGTGCAACGGGTATTAGACATCCTTAGATTTTTCTTGCCAGGTAAATAACATTGCTCTCCTTGCAAAGGAGTTCTCCTTTCAGATTCGGGAGTAGATAGAAAGATGCAGACCTAAAGGACGACTAAGCATCTCCTGGAGGGCATGTCCTTCTCACCTTTCAAAGCGGGGAGCATCAGCGGACGCAACCCCCTTCTAGCTACTGCCCAAATCTGGGGCGCTCTACTTTTCTCTTCCTCCCGATTCCTGGGACTGCATTCCCCCATCATCCCCGCCCCCTCCCCGGGCGCTAACCTGCCTGTAAGCATCAGAGGAAGCGAGGTGGAGAAGGAGAAAGAAAAGAAAGTGGAGTGGGAAGAGGGAGGGAGGGAGGGAAAGAGACAGGGACTTTTGCCCCCGCCAAAACGGCTTGTACCTGGCGCGTCTGTGCGCAAATGGAGCGGTCGGTCTCTCCGCCTCTGGTCGAGCGCGCCGGGCCAAAGTCAGGCGTCGCAGGCGCACGTCCCTCTCCCCTCGCCGTCCCGGCCCTCGCCCTTATATGGAGCCGGGGACTCCCAGCCCACCTCCCCTCCCTCGGGCCCTCCCTTCCTGCCCACTCCGGAGCCCCGAGAGAGGGAGCCAGGTAGGGCGGGCGGCTGGCTGGCTGGTTGGCAGACTGACTGGCTGGATTCGCTCCTCAGATCCAGGGGAAGAACTCGAGGCTCAATCCGAGCGCGACTCGGTACCAATCTCGCCCGCTGGCCTCGAAAGCAGCCGCTCTCCAGCTTCGGCTTCTCCTAGAAACCGCTGCAGCTGCGATAAGCTACCGAGGTCAAAAAAGTCAGGATGGCGACCGCAGCGGTTTTGATACACATCGCATATCTTGTGGACATTCTCCAATAAGAAGGAGCATCGCGTTCGTGCGAGCCTCCCCAATGGGTCATTGGCGCATCCAAAGCACCGGAGGGCAGGACAAGAAACAATGGTTGGAAACGAACCAAAGAGAGAAGCAACCTGGAATTAAGGAGAAACTTCATCACAGTGAGACCAATTAACCATTGGAACGGCTTGCCTCCAGAAATCGTGGGTGCTTCATCACGGGAGGTTTTTAAGAAGAGATTGGACAGTCACTTGTCTGAAATGGTATAGGACGGTTCTCCTGCCTAAGCAGGGGGCTCGACTAGATGACCGTTAATGTCCCTTCCAGCTCTATTCTACAGCATTCTATTCATCTGTGGAGGTCCACCTCATTTCACTGCTAATGAGCCCCCTCCTGGTTCTTTTGGTCCTATCAATGGGCCAAACTGGCTTACCTCCCCAAGTCAGGTGATCTTACACTTACACTGCAAAAACATATGGACTACACAACTCGATCAGGGCAAAGCAATAGACTCAATCTACATAGACTTCTGTAAAGCCTTTGATTCAGTGGTACATGACAAACTACTCCTAAAACTAAAATCTTATGGTATCTCTGGAGAACTGCATAACTGGATAGAAGCATTCCTGTCAAACAGACAACAAATGGTCAAAATTGGGAGCGTCCTATCAAATTCTGTACCTGTCAACAGTGGTGTCTCCCAAGGCAATGTTCTAGGACCAACTCTCTTCATACTCTACATAAATGACCTCTGTGATCATATCAAGAGCAATTGCGTTCTCTTCGCTGACGATGTAAAGCTATTCAACACCACAGACAATACTGCTACCCTACAAAAATACCTTGACTATGTATCAGAATGGTCAATCAAATGGCAACTTCAAATCTCAACAAATAAATGGTCTGTCTTACATATTGGCAAAAAAAAATCAGAAAATAAAATACAAGCTAAATAGTCAAGACCTTGTTGAGGATCCAAACTTTGTCAAGGATCTTGGAATTCTCATCTCTAATGATCTAAGTGCTAGAGCCCACTGTAACTACATAGCCAAAAAGGCATTAAGAGTTGTTAATCTAATCCTACGTAGCTTCTTCTCTGGTAATATCACACTACTAACTAGAGCATACAAAACTTTTGCTAGACCTATACTTGAATAAAGCTCATCAGTCTGGAACCCATTTCATGTATCTGATATTAACACAATTGAAAAAAACCAGAAATATTTCACAAGAAGAGTTCTCCGCTCCTCTACTCATTGCAGAATACCTTATGCCACCAGACTTGAAACTCTAGACCTAGAAAATCTAGAACTACACCGCCTTCAGTCCGATCTAAATATAGTATATAAAATCATACATTGCAATGTCCTACCTGCAAATGAATACTCCAGCTTCAATCATAATAATACAAGAGCACACAATAGATACAAACTCAAGGTTAACCGCACCAAACTTGATTGCAGGAAATACAACTTCAGCAGCAGAGTGGTCAATGTTTGGAATATTCTACCTGACTCTGTGGTTTCTTCCCCAAACCCCAAAAACTTTAACCTTAGACTGTCTACTATTGACCTCATCCCCTTCCTAAGAGGCCTGTAGGGGGCGTGCATAAGTGCACCAATCATGCTTACTGTCCCTGTCCTATTGTTTTTTTTTTTTTCTTATAAGTATCTATCTCATGTATTCAAAACTGTGTTTATTCTTATACCTGTATCTTGTAAGCGATTGACAAATCAAATAAATAATAAAAATACTAAATTCTGGAAGGAGAGTGGAGTGAGAGGGAGAGACAAGGGAACCGCTCCAGGTCCAGAAGGTCAAAGCATAAAGCTTCATGGTTCGGTGGGATGGTGCTCAGGGACCCCTTAACTGTTTGGTTTAAGAACATAATGCATTTGCTTGCCATACCAGTTTTGACTATGGCTTACATACAATAGACTCCTTCCTCCTATTTTCTTCACAACAACAACCCTGTGAAGTGGCTTGGACTGAGAATGACTGGCTCAAAATCACCTAGCTGACTTTATGCCTGAGGCGGGACTAGAACTCACCATCTCCTGGCAATTGGCCCAAAGTCACCCAGCCAGTTTTCATAACTAAGGTGGAACTAGAACTCTCTGTTTCCTGGCTTCTAGCCTGGTGTCTTTACCACTAGACCAGCGGCTACCAACCTTTACAGCTTGGTGGACTGGTGGGGGGGGGAGCAGATGGTTCTATGCAAGAAACAGGCATGTGCACTCACGCGCACAGCTCCATTTGCACAAGCGGAGCTGCACACGTCTGTGCTCGTGCACTGCTTGCGCAGCCTGGTTCCAAACAGGCCATGATGGCCCGGGAGTTAGCTGTGGCCCAGGGATTGGAGACCCCTGTACTAGACCACAGGTGCCTATAGCGTATATACAGGTCAACTCCAGCTCACAAAAATCGAAATAAAGAAATGCATTTATTTAAGAAAGTGTATATGGCCACCCAACTCACTCTCTCCCTCCCTCTCTTTCTCCCCCCCCCCCCCAAAGCGTGGGTGAAGAGCCACATCTTCGTGGCACTTGTAAATAACAGCAGGGAGAGTGGGGGAACCTTGTTCCAGAGGGCAAAGGCTGCTGCAGAGAAGGCGCCCTTCTGGGATTCTGAGGAACGGTATGGTTTAATGGAAGGATTAAGGAATACTCGGAGGAGTCCAGAGCGTGCTGTGAGAAACAGGCCATCCTGCAAGGAACTGGGCCCCATGTTGCGTAAGGCAGAGGTCCCCCACCCCCGATCTGTGGATGGTACCATCGCCCATTGGGAACCAGGCCATGCAAGCAGCGGGTGAGTGCGTGAAGCTTCGTTTGGGCATGCACTGGAGCTAAGTTGCGCGTGTGAAATTATCCTCTTCTCCCTGCCAAAGCTGTGGTGTTCCCCCTTGCTGCCGTCGCCATTGCAGCTGCTGGTCCATGGAGCCAGAGAGGTTGGGGACTCTGTGGGGCTTTCTAAGTACAGATAGTCCTTGACTTATAACAGTTCATTTAGTGACCGTTCAAAGTTACAACAGCACTGAAAAAGGATGAGCTTATGACCATTTTTTCACACTTACGTCCAGTCCAGCATCCCATGGTCACATGATCAAAATTCAGGTGCTTGGCAACTGACTCATACGTATGATGGTTGCAATGTTCCAGGGTCGTGTGATTCCCTTTTGCGACCTTCTGACAAGCAAAGTCCACAGGGAAGTCCATTATTGCAGTCACGAAGCTAGTAACACGGTTGTTAAGTGAATCTATCACTTAACAACTGTGTTCCTAGCTTCATGACTGCAATAACTCACTTAATAACAGTGGGAAGAAAGGTGGTATAAAATGGGGCATAACCAGTGGTGGGATTCAAATATTTTTACCACTGGTCCGGTGGGCGTGGCTTGATGGGCACGCTTGGCACACATGCACACAATTTGTGTGCATGTGCGCACCAGACACGTACTTTGCGCAGGCGCAGAGGCGTTCTAACTCACCTCCTGCAAGCCTGCATGATCCCAGTCGCTTCAGCAGCTGCCACTCGTCGCTCTTCTGTGCCGCGCAAAGCAGCTGCGCTTCAAATTCAGCAGATAAAGGTGAATATGGGAGCCCGGGTGGGCGGATGGGCCCAACAGCAGAGCAGTGGAGAGAACCGGTTTGGTCTCTGCTGCTCATCGCTGCTACGGGATCACCAGAACTGGGCCAAACTGGTTGAATACCACCACTGGGCAAAATGCACTTAACAACAGAAATCTTGGCCTCAATTGTGGTTGTAAATCGAGGATGACCTGTAGTGAATCGCACCCAGAAGAAACTGGCAACCAGTGCAGCTCACACAGCTGGGGTGTTCCAGGGCATCCTGAGACAAGCCCATAACTGCCCTTGGTGCTGCATTCCACATGCTGGACGAGCTGAGCAAATGAAATATTTCCTGGCTTCAAGGAGTGGTAAACGGAGCAAAGGAAACACCTATTATCTCCTGGAAGACCTAACTCTCACTTCCACCGAGCAAATTCTTTTCACGGGCATTTTTGCTTCATTCAACAAACTTCCCCTTTTGTTAAGAGACCACACACTACTCCCACCCTTTCTGCCAACATTTGTACATCTTCAAACTTTCCCCCTTCTTTAGTAAATCCATTCTTCCTTTCTGCAAGGGGGTGAATTCGATAACTCGACTAAATAGATTTTAAGGGATGGGTTTCTCTACTCTACCTGGTTAAGTCACTTTTTAAGATCCGGACTTCAACGTTTTCAAGAAGAGATCTTCCCTAGATGAACATCTGTTTTAAGGTAGGGTGGTAAGGGAAGCAGACAGAAATTCATTCCTGGATATTTGATGGATGAATAGGCATTAGTGGAACGAGTCAAATAGAACCTCCATATTTGGAAACAGTATAACTCGGTTAACCAGAAAAAAATGGTTTAAAAAACCCTCTAAGCTCCGTGTTCTTTTTACCTGCTTCACTGTATGGACCAAGTAGATTCTCAGGTGTGAAAGTGAAAAACTGCAGGTGGGATGCAATCTGTAGGACAGTGTTTCTCAAATTTAGCCATTTTAAGCTGCAACTCCCAGAAATCCCCAGCCAAGCCATGCTGGCTAGAGAATTGTGGGGGTTGAAGTCTATACAGCTTAAAATTGCTAAGGTTGAGAAACACTGTAATAGAGTAATACAATGTCCAATGAAAGAAGACTTCTTTATTTAGCACACACATACACACAGAGAGAGAGAGAGAGAGACTGCTAATTTCAGAGGAAGGAACAGGGTGAAT